GATCGATCTATTACAAGTCATACTAAAAAATCTGAACTTAAATGAATCAATTATGATAAATAGGTGATCTGTCATTAAAATTCTCTCATAGATAAGTTACTTATATTTTCCTAAGGTAAGCTTAGATGTGATTATGGCATTAGTTAATAAATTTATTCGTAAGTAACTTTGATCAATGTTACTATTTTCTGAATCAACAAGAAAAAATACTTATATATAGAATTTTGATTTTTAAATATTGCGCTTGACCCTTCCGGCTATTCTTGAATTTTCTAATCAATTTTCGTCTTTTTAAATAACTTAAATAGACTTTTTCAATTTCAAGATCCCATTCAATGAGAAATAAATTTTTAAATATCACATTATCACAATAGCCTGTTTAATTTCTTTGCTTTTATAAAATTTTGTTGGAAGGATAATTGATAATGTAGCTAGAATCTTGTGAAACTAAATAGATTAAGTCTGAATGCAATTTATAAGCTTAACGAATACATTGACCCTCAAGAGATTCATTAATAATAAATGAAGATGTTACTTTTCTTTCAATAGAATAAAGATATAGGTAATTATTTTTTCGAAAGTAAATATTGTTTTTTGAATTTACAGTGAGTAATTTTGCAAAATTTCCTTCGATTAACTTTTTATTCTATATTGTTTCTAATTTCATCAAATAAATTTTATAGGCTTAGCAATAGATGACGTCTTTAGAATCTGATGTAAATATAAAGTTTTCATAATACTATTCTTCTCAATACAATATTGTTTAAGTTTAAATATTGAAGATCAAGTGAAAATACTTCTCGGAGCTACTTTCAGATTTTTTTACTCCAAATGCAATATATTGCTAATTAGGTGACAATTTTACTTAACTAACATAGTAACGATCTTCCTTTAAAGAATAATCTGGCATTTATGAAAATTAATTCGAATTCTCCTCTTATCCATCCATATTGTTATTTTCCACATAACCTTTAACTTCAGAATCATCATTACTTTTATCTTAGGAATCTAAATTACTTTATTCAGAGCGATTGTCTGCTAATATACTATATTCAAACATTCCTAAAAATATTATATTATTTTATGGACTCATTTGAAAGTAATTTTTTATTATAAAAAATAATTAAAAATAATTATATTATAAAAAAAAAAAATAAGCATTTCCGATAATCTTACATATCAATGCATCAATTCTAAGATTCTCATCTTTTTTTGTTTAGTTTATTTATTTATTCCATATTTAATTAATCCCAACCAAAGCAAGGCATAAAAATGAACATTTTCAGAATAAATTAAATATCCATCTGCATATTGAACTGAGTTTCATAACTTAAAAAACAAAATTTGTTATGTACAGATATTAAAAAATGAAAAGATATTTAAAACTAATGGACCAAATTTAAACTGAGATAAGTGAAGCTATTATATCATTTAAGGATAAAATACTCTTAAATTTTAGTTTCTTTTGGTTTTCTATAAACAATGGTAAATAAAAAAAATAAATTTGAATTGGGTAATTTTTTTAATGAAAGAAAATCAAGTGCTGCATAAATTTTAGATATATTATAATTTACAAAAGTTAACATAGTCACTTAATAAATATAAATATGATTAAAAATAAAGGGGGAAAAAAGGATAAAATTTAATAACATTAGTATGAACTTCTTCCACAAACGACTTATAAATAAGAATAATGGTGTTATGCCATGTCTTTAAATCATAATAGAACACTTTTAGCTTCTGCTGCAAATCAGGATATCAAAATTTTTTAATTTGCAGACGGATTAATAAAGAAGGTCCAATAACTAAGAGGTCATTCTTATTTTATCACAATGCTCAATATATTACAGAGTAGATAACATCTTATTTCTAGTTCAGAAGATTCTTCAATTATTATATGGTCAACAAGTCTATTATAAATCCAAAATAATTAACTAAATTGAAAGGACATAAATCATATATTAATTGTTTGGTTGTCCATCCAATAAATGAAAATCTAATAGTTAGTGGATCAGATGATAAGAAAATCAATTTTTGGTCTAATTATTATTCATCGACATAATTGGTTGATCATTCAGGTTAAAAAAAGTGGTTTTATTCGCATACTATATGAACATACACCTATTGTTTATGGATTATCTATAAATCGAAGCGGAAATAAATTGCTATCTTGGAAATGATAATATAATTTTACTTTATCAATCTCTAATAAGTAGAAATGGGAGATCTGTAAAAAGATAAAAGTTGGATATATAAAGTAATGAAATAGTTCAGAATATTAGAGATATTGGTTTATAAGGATTAATTTTAGATGAACTTATTTCTTCTATTTATTATTAAATTTAGGTTAAATGCTAAGAAAAGTTGATAGTTAAAAGATTTTTCAAAATTTTTGATAAAATTTAAGAGGATGAGTTTAAATTTTCAAATTAATGTTTAAATAAAAGCAATGTCTTAATCTAAAATGTAACATTTCTTTATGCTATTGAATATAAGAAATTATTATATAACCTAAATATCACCTAAATTGTTAATTAAATTATAATAACTAATTCTTAATCTAAATTGGAAATTGCTTAAATATTTATGTTTTGATTAAAATTTCTAATTAATATCTAAATACATTATCAAAATTGATGAAACTTAAATTAAATTATTTTTTTTTAAATTGAAATATGAATATTCATAGAATGTGATACATTACATTGCTAATTCTATTCATAATTTATATTAGTTTAATGATAATTAGATTTCATAATTGCAATTTGAGTTTGAAAACTCAATAAAGATGTTTTCATCTTTTAAAATCCTCTCTCAATATAGTCTTGAAAAAAATTAAGATTTATTATTACATCATTTTTATGTAGTTTTCATATTCTAACTAAATTACTTGGATTGATTAAAGTTATCAAGCCTTGATAATTTTAAATAAAAAGATCTTGATATTGTAGATAATATTTCTTAAATAAATGAAAAAAATAACAAAATATTACTCTTCTTATATTTGTAAATTCATAAATATGTTTGTAAACCAAAATTATATTAATGACCAATAATTTTTGAATAATTGTGTCTTTATAAGATGTTAATGTTAGAAATTTAAAAAATATTAGAATTTGTTGAAATTCAAAAACTAACTCAAAATGAAAGTGGATGTGTTTACAAAATAAGAAATTAATTTATAATATTTTAAAAATAGGAAAATAGATTGTTTGGATTAAATGATTTATTTATTGAACTTGGTGTTCCAAAATTATAAAAATTAAGATTTATTTGTCTTAGCCTTCGGGAAATTTAGTCAAACATTGATTTTCATTACAAATTTGAAATTTATAAATTATAGTAACTACAATATTTTATTAAATTGGTTGGCAAATTGAAAACCCCAGTAGTTCTTTATTTTTAATTTTCATGTTTCTTAGTAAGAAATTAAAATTCTGAGAAGCCAAGAAGATATAAGCAGTTTTAAACTAATTATTTTTGATATATCAGTGTTTATATGTTAGGAAACTGATGTTTTCTTTTTGCTCTTATATATCCCTTTAATAGAGATAATATTATATATGTAAAAAGATATCATAATGGATTAATTCTTAAATTGATTATAATTTTATATTTCAATCTTCAAAATTCATATCAGAAAACTTGATCAAAGATTAATGCTGTTTTAAAATTTGGTATGTACTTAGACTTCTATTTCTTCCTTTGATAACATTATTAAATGTCTTTTTAAAGTTTAAATCCAAATTACATAATTGGTCATACTATATTTTCCCTAATGAATTCAATTATATCATTATTTTTTTAAGCTTTTATTTTGATTGATAAACGATTCACAAATGTTTCTTTAATGATTGAATAGAATTGGTGATATCTTTATAGATAAATGTTAAATGCGAAAGATCTGCTCCTTTGTTATAATTAAGATAAGTTACTATTTTAAAAGTTTCTCCATTTAACAATTTGAAATTTATAAACGCTTAAATTATTAGATATATCTATCTATAGCATAATATATTAAAAATAAGAATATGAAAAACAATCTAGTTTTTCTTAAAATGTCTAGTATCAAAGAATAGGAAGGAATAGGGCTTTAAAAAAAAACTGGCTAAATATTAGAAACAGTGAAGCAAGAAGAAAAAATATCTTGCTGAAAGTTAAAGGATCATATTAAGGAAACTATATCCACTTTAACAATAAGATGCTTACTCAAAATTGTAATTATTCTAACATTATCATAAATATGACAATTACGCCAGCATTAAATAAAATTATAATATTTAGGCTACTTCTCTTTGCATAATTCCTCATAATGATTGGATTAGTAATTCAGGTTAAAATTAAATTATATAAATTTAGAGAATAACATTACTACTTTTTTATAAATGAGTAAGTATTTGATTAAATTATAAATTTTCATTAATATTTTAAAATGATTGTTTAAATTTAACTGAAGTCAATATTATTGACATAAATTT